GCGGGGGTATAGCTCAGTGGTACAGCATTCAACTGCTAATCGAGAGATCTTCGGTTCAACCCCGAGTGTCCTCTTCAGGGAAGTAAAGAGAAGTATTTTTTTGAGAATTTCGATGGCGGGCATGATCTGTCCCGTTCTGTAAATTTCTAGACAAAGCAATTTTGTATCCGTGACGGTGTGCGTCACTTCTGTGACGGTTTTGCGTCACATCCATGACGGTGTGCACGCGTATCGTAAAAATTCACCCTCATACTATTTCTCTAACGCCCCAAAAGAAGTATAACTTCAAAAAAGTCCTCCTAAAACACATCTATACTAGTATAAAATCAAAAATAGAAATTAAGATGGCTCCTTATATAAACCTAGGAAGTCAGCACCAGTGGAATACACAACGGATGAGGAAGATATGATCGTTTTTACGACATAGAAGAAGAGTTAGAATCTCAACTAAGTCTATTATAAGAAGATTATCGGAAGAATATTGGCGAAATGATGATTGGGAAACGTTAACAATTTTACAAACGTTGACATTTAAAAAGCTTGGTTACGTAGTAGATTACTTGTCTGACTTGGTGGAAAAATACTCTGAAATTTTACTGTTTTAAACATAAAATGTTTTTATTGAAACTCTTGACGAATTTTATACTTTGAATATTTAAAAAGTTGTTTGGCGCAGCTTAGCCAAAATTGGCTCTTGCGCCATAAATCCCTACACTCACTCACTCTATAGTATACTACAGCGTTTCTCAAACTGTGGGGAGCGCCCCCTAAAGGGGTCGTGATAACTCTACGAGGGGAGCGCAAGCATTTTAAAAAGTCAAAAACAAAAGATTTTTAAAAAAAATTTGATTTACTGAAAGTAAACAAAATACATTGACATAATAAAACATAAAATACACATTTACACCGATATAATCCACTTATAAATATATCAGTACTGCACAATGTATTTTATAATCAATTTAACAATACTAAGTTAAGACAGTGATTCTCAAACTTTCTTTGCTGAGACCTAATTTTCAATCATAATTTTCATCGCGCCCCCCTCCATACAATAAAAGTGTGTTCCAATTCAATAATATAATTTGACATAAAGCTACAACACGCGACTTTAGTTATAAACCATACGAATTATCAAGTATTAAATTTTGTATATAACTTTTTGACAGGCTCATTGGGTCACTGGTAATTATTAAACTTGTTCTTAACTTAGTACTTTTAAATTAATTATAAAATACGTTGAGCAGTACTGACACATTTATATATATAAGTGTCTTATATCTATGTAAATATGTATTTTACTTTTTATTATGTCAGAATGTATTTTGTTTCCTTTCAGTAAATTAATATATTTTTTTATTCTTTTGTTTTCGTCTTTTGATATACTCGCGCCCCCTTGTAGGGTTATTGTTACCTGAAATTTGCAGGTAACGTGTGGTTTGACTCTGAAGGGAAGCACACAGTAGTTGTATTTTTAAGTTTATTAAAATATATTTCAGCGTCTCTGGAATCACCCTATTCCATAAAGAAAAATACATACATATACTAAACCGCCTCTGACGTCATGACCAATGAAAAACGAACACGATTTGCAATGACGTCAGATACTTTTAGCAGTTAACACGATAAATCTGCATGACGAAAGGAACAAAGTCCAACAAGCGGCCCCCTCATGCAGATTTCACATTTATACTTCAGAAGAACAAAAATTACACAATACCAAAAATTTCGTTACAAAATTTCCTTATAGCCTCTTTAGGTAAGGGTTTAGTAAAAATGTCAGCAATATTATTTTTACTATTAATGTACTTTATTTCAAAAAACTGACTATCTACTAAACTTCTCAAAAAATGAAATCAGACGTCAATATGTTTCGTCCGATGGTTTTCTACAGGCGAGGGGGAGAAATTTATAGCGGCTTGATTATCACAATAAACAACCGGTAGTTCAGAATAGTTTAATTTTAGCATCAAATTACATTCATTAATTACATTTTGAATCCAAATAATTTCTTTTGCAGCTTCCGTTAAAGATATATATTCCGCTTCCATAGTGGAAAGACTAACACATTTATGTTTAAATGTACGCCAGGAAATAGGGACATTATGTATCATTACAATTAATCCTCCTATAGAAACAC